TGCTTACCGCTATATACAGAATTTATATTTTATTTAAGCAGGTATTTATTATTGCACAGGTTTGACGCCTGTCACTCACCAAATTCCTTATAGTTGACATATCTTTTGGAGTCGAATTTCTAGACCACGTATGTTTCTCGCTTGTCCAGATGTAAAATTGATTAAAAAAACTCAAACGTTGACTTTCCTGGTAAGATGCTCCATTGAATCCATATATATATATATATATATATATATATATATATGTATGTATATATATATATATTTCTTTTTTTTTAAAGAACGACTTTGACTTTATTTAATAAAATATAAGGTGGTCATACTCTTAAAGCAAAAGGCAGAGGAGCACTATTGCTAACTGACTTGCTACACTTTAACTCTACTAAAGCTTGGAAGTCCCAACCGATCAAGAGCGATATCATCTCTCACCAAGCAAGGCAATTCACGGAATGATTCATAAGTCAAAGTTATTCCAGAGTCCACTGATAGGACGATAATTGAGTGTTTATTACATTGGTGTTTGGTCCTAATTTTGGCCAATTATTGTGCAGAGTAACGGGTTTGTACTCATAATTGGTATTTGTGTCAGTTGCAGGCGATTGGTGTCAAAAGTAGTAAAAAGAGGCCAAATTTTCAGAAGACCAGTCCTTTCAGAGCGTGCCCACGCCAGAGACTGCATAGCTGCGTGAAAAAGCCGGATCGCGGCCTTATCTCTGGAGCCACCGCCTTTCTTTGGAGACACATTCTGAACCCACGTGGGATTAGGAAGCCTTTGCAAAAAAGACGCGTGATCCAGTTAGAGGCTTAGAGCCTCAATAATATGGACGATAATTGAAGGATAGTGTAGTCAAAATTAGTGGCTTGGCAAGAAGAAAATTTTGATAATGACCATACGGTGGATGGATGGAATATTTCATAGGATAATTTCAAAAAACTCCCTTGAGGTTTTTGACACTTTCCCTGATATCTCCTGAGGTTCTAAAATTTCCACTGACCTCCTTTACAGAAAATTGGGGCCTTTTGCTGACATCATGAAGGCTAAAATTACTAGTATATCCTATGAAGTTGGGGTTACTACTGTATAGTTGGGGGAAAAGGCATCTAAAGTAGTTAATTAAGTTTAACAGCAATAACACAATTTTGATGTCTAATGCATGAACTTAACCTGGATTAGTGAGGAAGGTGCCAACGAGTCACAAAATTGGCGACTGCTATGATTGGACAAGGAGATGGGATCAATTATGTGACACCCTAACCATATAAAGTGCAAGGGAAGAAATAGATAGAGGAAAGAAATAGAGGAAAAAGAAGAACAAAAATGGATGCAAAGTAAAGATTTTGTGCTCCTGATATGCGTTGGACAAGTAGCAACAAAGTGAAGAATTTGACTGGATGAAATAGTTGCAACCACAACAGTACAAGTACAAATTTCATTCTTATCTTAACTTTCCTTTACTGGTGTTGCTTGATCAGCCATACCACCTCTTGCTGTTACTTAAGTCTTGCTATTGAACATTATATGTCTGTTAAGTAGATTATCGAGTTGATCATAGACACTTAAGTCCTGCATTGAGGTTGTTTCTTCTACTATTAGCTTCTTCTTCTTCACCTCCATCACATCATTCAAAATACCTGCACTTTGCACGACAGAAATACAACTTGCCCATATTCTTTTCATTCTCACATATCTTCATTGTTGTTTTGCGATTACAATGGCAATATTTGTTTTTAATGGTGAAAGATGTGGATGAATTCCATGATTCTCCCTTATGGCCTGAAGATGCCATAATTTCTGCTAAAATCTTTTCACTCTGAGCTCTAAATGAAGCACAACGGATTAACTTTGTTATCACTCCAAAACTTGCAACAAAGAATGATAATAGCTTGAGGGATGTAGAGGTAGTTAAGATGCTCTATATACTATTGCTATTGAAAGAAATATTTGGCCGTTGCAACTTGCAGCTAGCCATTGCAATTGCTACCAAATCACTACTTCAAGAAAAATTTGGTGCTTACAAGTTTTTGTATTGCACTTATACGCCCTCAGCTTTAGTAATCATTGTAATCAGTTAATCTTCTTTCAATTTTCTACTAATACAAGGATCAAAAGGGCATCCATGGAATAAAAATATCATCTCACTTTTGAAAATAACATATTGTAATGTGATTAGGACTGCATTGTTACCAAAAACTCAAAAGCAATGAAGATGAGTAAAATTTTTAGAATCTCAAAAGATGTCAGTGAAAGTGTCAGAAACATCAGGGAGAGGTTTCTGAAATTATCCCAATATTTGATATACAATCACCAGGGAAAAGTCTTTTTAGCTTGCATGATTATGCAAGTCCGAAAGAGCGGTTGACCAGTCAAACCTGGAAAAGTCCTTTCTTTCAATTTTTACCTTAACCAAGTTGGTCATCAAATAAAACACAAAGTGCAGGTCTGACTGTACTGCACTATAGCAAAATCAAGGTGAATCGCCCTTTCTATTTCCCTGATTTAGTTCGACCCTCTCTTAAATAAATCAAAATAAGAGTAAGGGTAAGAGTAACGTAGAAGTTGACACGACACACACTTATTTTTTCAAACTTTCAAGTTTTCCTTAATTTTTTCTCAACTTGTGTTTGATGTCAAAAATTTTATGGTATTTATTTTAAATTTTGGATCATTTGAAAAACTACAAATGCTTGTAAGAAAATTAACCTACATTATATTTTTTGTTTGGAATTATTTTTGTAACAATTGATTATAGCCTTTTTTACAATTTTTTTTTAATTTATAGTTAGTTTCAACAAATCTATAGATAATCTACATTATATAAATTTGTATTAATTGTACTTTCTTTATTTTTTATCAATCAACTCATATATTTGCTTTTCTAATTTGAACAAAGAATGACCTTCACCTTCAAAAGATTCATATACATATAACTATTGGCTCTTGTCTTTTCTTTTCTTTTGATTTTTTTCTTGAACTTCTTATTAGTCCAAAAATATTTGACTTGAATTCTAAGATTGCCTAATATGAATAAATTTCTTTATCTTTTTTAATTCCTTTTAAATAGGAATAAATCTTATATACATTAACAGCATATATACTTACACCGTTGGATCCATAACGTATGTTCAAAAGTTAAATTTTAAATTCAAATGTTGCATAGCTATCATTTATACAACACTGATAGTGTATACGGAAAAAAGCACTTTCTTTCAATTTTCTGTTTTCAAATATTTTTTTCTTTTTGCTTTTTCTAAGTTTTTGTTAATTTTTTCTTGACCTGTGTTTGATGTCAAAAGTTTTATAGTAGTATTTATTTTAACATTTGGATAATTTGAAAAACTACAAATGCTCCCATGAAAACGAAGGAATCTTTCCATCATTTACGCAGATAACACCGAGGGAAAATGGCTGAGGCCGAATCAAAGGTTTTCGAAACATGCTTATTTGTAGCAAATACACCAAGGGTATAGAGGCAGTCCATGGAGCAAAATGTTTCTACTACAATTTGATCTATTTAATAAGCCAAGCTAAACATGAAAATTATGATTATTGTAACAAGAATGTACTTCAACAGTGAATCCGCTACTCGATGCTTACTTGAATGTTGATTTTATACGTAATCAAAAGTAGCTAGTCTTGATATTGCGAGTGAAATTCTAGCAAATCATCCACACAGCAGTTGCTTCATCATTTAGTGCAACAATAAGAACTACTAATATCTGATAGATTAATTGATTGGTCAGGTACAAGAAAAGCAACCAAACTAATGTTCCTAAGTAGTGAATTTAATTTTAAGAAGAAAATTTTGATCTTGACCACATATATTCATAGAAGACTGAGGAAAAGCAGCATTATTCTAGAAGTTGATAATGCACTGCTACTCATGGATACCATTACCATTGTAACTCCTTTTTTTTTTTTTTTTTTTTTTAACTTTCCGCACCTTTCCATGTCATACACAAACAACAACTATATCATCATAAGTTGCCAAAGCATAAAAATTTTTCAATTAAAATTCTTAGCAACCCAAGTCACACGGGAAACAGAAAATTACCTAAGCATAGTCTACCATACACAAACAACAACCATACCCACATAAACTGCCAAAGAATTAAAAATTTTCAATATAAAATTATTAGAGACTAACTGGTGAGCCTTAAAGACCTCTTGAATCCTCTTCAACAAAAATGAGAATCCTCACATATGGTATTAAAACCCCTGCTTCTGTTGTTCTAATTGAAGTGACGTCTTACCCCTGCAGCTTTCTATGCTATACATCAATCAGAAAATGGTGCCTGAATTTGGTGCCCATTTTCTCATGGCATTTGGGATATTATTTGTACTTATAAATTATCATTTATTATGTTAATCGTATTTATAACTAGCTTAGGTAAATTTGTCTAGATAATTGTGAAATAATTGCTAAGTTGTGCGAGTACTTAAATCATTTCACCCACGATGATGTAAGAATTGGGACTCAATATTCTGTTAGAGGAAATTTCTAATTATTTTGAGAACCTCATAGGAGGAGAGCGAGACTGTCAGCAACCTTAGAGAAGGTTTCTAAAATTATCCCTTATTTCAACAGATGGTACATTAGAAGCCAATAGGTGGCCCTGCAGATTAAAGTTGCTCTGCAGGAACCGCAAAGAGTCGTAATCCGGTAGCGGGAAAAAATGGCGGATGTACAGTGACATCTTGGAATTGGTCTAGTTACGTCTCTTAGCGTAATTTTAACAAGATTTGATATACATCCGCAAAGAGCCGTAGTTAGGAAGTAAGAAAAAATGGCGGATGCACAGTGACATCTTGGAATTTGGTCTAGTTACGTCTGTGCTAAAATTAGATGTTGTAAAAGAAATTCACATGTACATTAAAACTTACTAAAAAGCATAGAATTATACACATAAAATTACACAAAAAAAAATTTACAAACCGCACAAAATTAGGCAAAACTCAACTGAAGCATTCTCAATTATTTTTTCACCCGTGCCTGTGCTCCTCCGTTCTTCACTACAAATACGAGCTCATATATCCATTCGCCAACCAGACCAAAAAACAAAAGAACAAAAAAGAAAACATCTCTCCTTGTTTTCTTAATAGAAGAACACCTTTCCATCAAACACGCAAATAGCACCAACCAAGGTAAAATGGCTACACCCGATGCAGTCACCGTGCTTAAGCATTCTTTAGTGTCACCACCGTCGTCTGCGGCGGCCACTGAAATGTCTCTTCCTTTAACATTCCTTGATATGCCGTGGTTGCACTTTTCCCCCATCCAACGCCTCGTCCTTTATGAGGTACCTCAGCTCTCTAGAGCCCATTTCATCGAGCACATCATTCCTAAGCTTGAACATTCACTCTCCTTGACACTCCAACATTTTCTTCCCCTAGCCGGGAATTTGATAGTTCCTTCCAATTCAAATTCTGGCACGCCCGAAATTCGTTACAAAAATGGAAGTTCACTAGCACTAATCATTGCCGAGTGTACCACGACTGATTTCAATTATCTTACAGCAAACCATGCACGGAATTGTCGTGATTTTCATCCTTTGATTCCTGAATTGAAACCATCTACGGAGGATGATTCCGGATCCACAGCCAGGATTACCCCAGTTCTTGCTCTTCAGGTTACATTATTTCCAGACTGTGGAATGTCTATTGGAATCTCAAATCACCACACTGTCGGAGATGCCGGCAGCATTTTCGGATTTATGAAGACGTGGGCTGCTTTGAGCTCCAAATTTTTTGAAGATAATATCGACAGAGATGATGCTGCGGCAACTCTAGTAAGTTATTCTCCACCATGTTACGATAGGACTATGATCAAAGACACAAAGGGACTTGGCTCAATTTTTTGGGACCAAGGGGTCGTCTTCTTAAAGCTTTTTCAACATGAGAGTTCTACTGATACTACAGCAAAACCTATGACCAAAAAAGTTCGCAGATCTTTTGTTATTAGCAGAAACAATATCGAAAAACTAAAGAGCTTAGCCCTGCAAAAACGGCCACAATTAGTTCATTTATCATCATTTACGGTAATTTGTGCCCATGTTTGGACTTGCTTGGTAAAATGTCGTGGTCCAAGTGGAGAACAAGTGGTGAAGTGAGGTGAGGTGGAGCACTTTTGTTGCCTGGCTGATTGTAGAGGACGTATGGATCCACCTTTACCTTCCAACTATTTTGGCAATTGCCAAACAGTTATTAGGAAAAATGAAAAAAATGGAAAGTTAATTGGAGAAGAAGGATTTCCAATTGCAGTTGAGTCAATCGGGGAGGGCATTCATCAGAGATTGAAGAACAATGATTCACTCTTCGACGATGCCGACACGTGGTTGCCGGGTATTGCAGGTATAAATTTGGACAGGGTTGTTTCCGTGGCAGGCTCACCAAGGTATAACTATTACAATCTGGATTTTGGATGGGAAAGCCTAAAAAGTTTGAGTTCATTTCGATTGAAACTTCAGGGGCCATTTCTCTTAGTGGGAGTAGAGAATCAGATGGAGATATTGAGGTTGGTTTATCCCTTTCCAAGCCAAGAATGGATGCTTTTACTGCTATTTTTAACAATGGGCTTGATTCTTTGTAGAATTCTACGGTAAAAGTTAATTTTGGGACACTTGTATGTCGTTTCTGGTTTTTGGTTGCTACGTACCAGTAAGAACTTTATTTGTTAGTACTACCAATTATGATAATACAATGAGATTATGTTATTCACTGATTTCTTGAATTATTGAAGATCTTACGCAATGCAAGGAGCAAATATGTCATGTATAGCTAGGAAGGGTAATTGATCTAGAATAAGACTTTTCAATGAAAAATTTTACTATTCAGTAAGCCATGGTACATAGGAAAAAACATGGACTGGAAGCCTCTACTATCATTAGTGGCAACAATAGGATACTGTGTAGACAATAATATAACAAATATTGATACTAATATAACAAAATCTTATTGTGCTAATATTTATATTTGTTTTTGTTAATGTTTATATTTTATATTACTGTCTATCCCACACCGTGTTGTCACCACTAGTGATGACAGAAGCCCTGATCCAACATGGATGGCCAGAAGAATTGTATGTTAATCGTCCATATGCTCAATATGCTATTTCTTTGCGATGCATATTGAATTTTTCTTTTAATACCCCGACAGCATCTTGTTACCAACCATTGAAATAGTTACATACACATGAGGATAATCAATTGACTATGGAGGGGGAGATTGGAATAAGTCTATCCTTTGCTGGTTTCTCTAGATCTAACAAGGTATTTGTTTCCACTGACAAGTAAAAATTGTAAGAAACCAATTCCGGTCCTTTTAAAATAATTTTCTTTTGTGACAGACATGAAAAAAACTATGTAGAAATTTCTGTCAATTGACTTCTCAATAGTGAACACGATTCAGACAAAGTAATATGGCGTTGCATGACGCAGGTTCATCCTCATTCGAGAAATGTAGGATTGAAGAACGAATCTATTCAAAATTTATGTACAACAAATTCTTTGACCAACTAATGTGGCATGTTTTGTTGAGAAGCTTAGGATCCTCGTTAAGTCTAAGCACAGGCCAGTTACCCAAATTATGAAAACGTGGTCTAGGGAAGATTCTTGATAACTCTTTCTAGTGTCCTTATGATCTATTAGAAAATGGAAACTACTTTTTGCCGGAATAAAAAAGGAAAGGTGGTTACTGTCCCTTAACTATTGGTGTTTGGTTTACTAAGTGTGTTTAAATAGTAGATTATTTGAGATAATTTTTTTTAAAATACAATAATATTTTTTTGATATAATATATATAAAATAAAAAGATGATTAAGAAATGTGTTAAGAAATATTTAGTTTAGTTAACGTCTCATTTTCATCAAAGACTAAAAGAGACATGTTTAGAAATGGATCGCTACCAAACATAGCGGATACACTTACAAAATTTTAACTTGGTATGGTCCAAAACAATAAATATGGACAATAATTGATGGATTGTGTGGTCAAAAGTAGTGGCTTTGTAAGATCAAAAACTTGACAATGACCTGGTTGGAATAGTTCGTATTTAGTGAAAAGTCTTTTCAACTTAAGTGACACTAGGTTTGTTTGATAGGAAGTTATTTGAAATATTTATCTGAAAAAATTACTATAACACTTTTTATGATGTGATGTATGTGAGATAAAAAGTTGATTGAAAATTGTGTGTATGATGCAAGCAAAACAAAATCTGAAATTTGTATTTGAAAACCTTGCTATCCAAACAAACTAATTGATTACAATGCCAGTCCCAGACAGTAGTTGACCAGTCAAACTCAGGAAAAGTCCTTTCTTTCAATTTTTACCATAGATGAATTGGTCATCTAGTTAAACACAGGGTACAAACCTAACGGCATTGTAATATACAAAAAGAAACTCCAGATATTTGAGATCTTTCTCTTTGAATAAGGTCTCAATTCCAACGGCGGTTTCATTAGATATCTTACAACTAGAATCCCCCCCTCTTCTGATCCATTTCCTCCACCATCGCGAACCCCAGTTAGATTCAGGGATGGCACACTTTTTATTTATTGGGAGAACCCAAGTACTCTCTTTCGGATTCAGGAAACAACTCTCAGAGATCTTTTTTTCTTTTGGAAGAGAGAGAAGCGAAACAATCAACCTATTGATATTGGAAACCCAACGGATTCTTCCAATGTATCATTTTTGGGTCCAATGGAATTCATAGCTATAGGAAGAAGTCCTATCAAATAGAGATTTTTGCTTTTGACCATAGTTCGATTGTTAATATGATATATAAGAACCACTACTACAAAGAGTATTACACCGTTGATCGTGAAATATCGATTGCTTATTGAACCCTGTGAATTGCGTGAAAGTAGGATACTCCAAATTCGGGAGTCAAAGAGTTTTATAAAACGTTCTTGGTGGAAAAAAATGTGAATGAAAGATCCCACTGAATTGAATTGGGCCATGAATCTAAGAAATAGTGGAATTCTTGATCTCTCTCAATATGTCTCTCAATTCGAAAATCCAGGATTTGAATTGATGTCCTTTCATTGATTCCTCATAAATTGCATTGATTTATCTTAAAGATTTCATTTCAATTAGAATTTGGTCATTCACCATGTACGAGGATCCCCGCTAAGCATCCATGGCTGAAAGGTTAAAGCGCCCAACTCATAATTGGCGAATTCATAGGTTCAAGTCTTACTGGATGCACGCCAATAGGACCCTCCAATAAGTCTATTGGAATTGACTCTGCATCAATGGAATCTCATCATCCATACATAACGAATTGGTGTAGTATATTCATATCATAATATATGAACAGTAAGAACTAGCATTCTTATTGAGACTAGAACTCATAGGGAAGAAAATAGATTTATGGATGGAATCAAATATGCAGTATTTACAGACAAAAGTATTCGGTTATTGGGGAAAAATCAATATACTTTTAATGTCGAATTGAGATCAACTAGGACAGAAATAAAGCATTAGGTCGAACGCTTCTTTGGTATCAAGGTAATAGCTATGAATAGTCATCGACTTCCGGGAAAGGATAGAAGAATGGGACCTATTATGGGACATATAATGCATTACAAACGTATGATCTTACGCTTCAACCAGGTTATTCTATTCCATCTCGTAGAACAAAAAAACTTAAATCAAAATAGTTAATAGCATGGCGATACATTTATACAAAACTTCTACCCCGAGCACACGCAATGGAAAAGTAGACAGTCAAGTGAAATCCAATCCAACACGAAACAATTAGATCTATGGACAGCATCATTGTGGTAAAGGTCATAATGCCAGAGGAATCATTAGTTCAGGCATAGAGGGGGAGGTCATAAGCGTCTATACCGTAAAATCGATTTTCGACGGAATGAAAAAGACTTATATGGTAGAATCGTAACCATAGAATATGACCCTAATCGAAATGCATACATTTGTCTCATACACTATGGGATGGTAAGAAGAGATATATTTTACATCCCAGAGGGGGTCAAATAGGAGATACCATTGTTTCTGGTACAGAAGTTCCTATAAAAATGGGAAATGCCCTATATTTGAGTGCGGTTTGAACTATTGATTTACGTAATTGGAAGTAACCAATTAGGTTTACGATGAAACCTAGAAATCGATCACTGGTCTAATTTGAGTACCTCTACAGGATAGACCTCAACAGAAAACTGAAGAGTAACGGCAGCAAGTGATTGAGTTCAGTAGTTCCTTATATAAACTTATTGACTCTAGAGATATAGTAATATGAAGAAGACAAAATTGTTTCAAGCACCGACAGAACCGAAAGCGCCCCTTCTTTCAAAAGAGGAGGACAGGGTATTCACATTTCATTCGATGGTCAGAGGCGAATTGAAAGCTAAGCAGTGGGAATTCTAAAGATTCCCCGGGGAAAAATAGAGATGTCTCCTACGTTACCCATAATATGTGGAAGTATCGACGTAATTTCATAGAGTCATTCGGTCTGAATGCTACATGAAGAATATAAGCCAGATGACGGAACGAGAAGACCTAGAATGTAGAAGATCATAACATGAGTCATTCGGCAGATTTGCATTCATATATCCATCCATGGGTACTTCATTGTATGATATAAGATCCATCTATATAAATATCATCATCTACATCCAGAAAGCCGTATGCTTTGTAAGAAGCTTGTATAGTTTAGGAAGGGGTTTTGATTGATCAAAAAAAGAATCTACTTCAACCGATATGCCCTTAGGCACGGCCATACATAACATAGAAATCACACTTGGAAAGGATGGACAATTAGCTAGAGCAGTGGTGCTGTAGCGAAACTAATTGCAAAGAGGGTAAATCGGCCACATAAAAATTACCTTCTGGGGAGGTCCGTTTGATATCCAAAAACTGCTCAGCAATAGTCAGACAAGTAGGGAATGTTTGGGTGAACCAGAAATGTTTGGGTAGAGCCGGATCTAAGCGTTGGCTAGGTAAGCGTCCTATAGTAAGAGGAGTAATTATGAATCCTGTAGACCATCCCCATGGAGGTGGGGAAGGGAGAGCTCCAATTGGTAGAAAAAAAACCCACAATCCCCTGCACTTGGAAGAAGAAATAGAAAAAAGAATAAATATGGTGATAATTT